GCCCAGTGACACGTGCATAGCACAGTGTACAATACCAACTACTTCACCTATTTTTAGTATTGAAAACATCACCATTCTGAAGAATCTCAAAGCCTTAACATTTCCCCCTGAAAAACTGACATTTTTTAGGTCTCACGTGAAGCGAACACTTCAGATTCTCCCTCGATCACCACTTAACAGACCAGCATGGACCCTCCTGCTCCAGCAGCGCTGAGAACTTGTCAGGAAATGACACTCAGAAAGTAATTACTGGAGTTTCACTGGGGAAACTCAAAGGATAAATTGAGTGGTGTTGCACGGGAGACTGACTCTGCTTTGTACTACTCAGTTTTTCATTAGTGATCCAGTGGTTGGCTAGAGATTTTGGTTGTTAAATTCACAGGCTTTGACACGAAGGTGGAAAAGAATTGCAGACGGGTTGAGAGGGGGATTCAAATCCAAAACAGCCTTGACAAATGAGAGAAGCAATAATATATAATTCAGCAAGCAGGGGAAAAAAAATCCTGATGTTCAGCAGGAATTACCAGCTTCACAAGCCCTGTTTGCAGAAAAAGACCCAGAAGTTAGAGCAGCTTGCAGAGTGACACCAGTTACAAACGTCCTGCTGTTGGAATAAAAGGGAATATTCCTCAGTGAGGTTCCAGGCAGTGGCACAGCCAAAACACGAGTCCTCCTGCAGCACTCAGCACTGAGAAAGGGTTCTGCTGGAATAGGGTGAGAAGTTTTCCATGCCCCCAGAAAAGAGTTGGAGGAGTCCAGCTCAGGACAATGAGAGTAATGAGAGTTTTGGAAAAACGTGATTTGCAATTGGAAAGAGGAAGGATTGGATTTCAGAGCCCAGAGAAGGCCGGGGCAGGCACAGCCTGCAGGTACATAAACAGCTGCTGCAAAAAGGAAAGGAGCAGGTTGCTCCCTGTGTGGTGGGATGAGAGGAAATACGATTCAAATTACAGCAAAAGAGCTTTGGAAAACAGTAAGGATAACACTGAGTTGTCCAGGGAAAACTGTGCAATCTCCCACTGCTAAGCATCTTTAAGAAGAAATAAAGAAATAAAGAAAAAGATTTATGGACACTGTGGGGTGCAAAAGCCTTGGATGGTGCTTTGTGCCAAACCCAACCTCCTCCTCATTTGAACCACAGTTTCCACAGTTATTTTGCACTTTGTTCAGTCCAAGCCTGAGTGAGAAGAACAGGTGGTTTCACTGCTTTTCAAAGTGTCCCTTTTAGGGGAAAGTGGCAGTCAGAGATTTAAAGCTTTTAGAAAACTTCACCCAGGCTATGAGTGTTTATTTCCAATGCAAAGATGGTCCCTGGAAAACCCTCCATGTTAGGCACGTGCAATTTTAAAGGAAGATTTTCAAAAGCCTTCAGGGACAGTTTTACACTGAGTACATTCAGTGCAAGAGTAAAACTCCCATTGATTTCCATGTCCTGCCCCCATAGAAGCACACAGTGTGTCCTGAATATTTTAAATTATACTTGATTTCAAAACAATACTTAAGTGTGAACTTACCTAGCAATTTCTTGGTGTATTGAGGTATAATTTAAATGCTGTAATACAAAATACACTGAAATAGAATAAAGAAGGTGGCTCACATAGAAATATTTCAGTTAGTTACTAAAATAATAATGTTCTATGCCTTTAGCTACAGTAATTAAAATAATCCACAGTGATAAGAACTACTGAGGATTATCATATTTGCTTATTAGCATGGTAGTCAAATTAATCTTGGACTATTTAACAACAACATCTAATCATTTTGGAGGAAAACATGCATCTTTCTGCTCACAGGCTTACAATCTCATCTTGTGCCCTAATGTCTTGTAAAAGAAAGATTCATATCAAGCAAGAACAGGGTTGCTAAAATTATTAAATGCTGAACAAGACTCATTTCATTACACTCGAGGTTTATTAGATCAGTTTAGTTAACACCTGCTAAGCAAAGAGTATGAAGTGCAACACAGAGAATGTAACACTGATTTCATGCACGTTTAACTGAGGATCCAGGGTCTCCATGAATTTTACATTAATTAGGTGGAACATTTAATGAACAAACCTTTCATTATGCTCTGATCAAAACACAGTCTGAGAGCTCATGGAAAATCCCTAAAGAGCATCCACCTGCTTGTGTATAATTTCTGACCTAACGTTTTCTTTTCCCAGGATTCTGATTTGTTAATAAATCGTCCAAGTAAAATGTTTAGGTAAAAATGGGCTATTCCTCTTTCTCAATCTCCAGCAGATTTAGCAGAGTATGATCCTTGTCTGTATAAATGTGTTTTATATATATTTATTTATATATATTTATTTATATGTATTTATTTTTTATATAAATATATATATTTATATATAAACATATAAATATGTTCTGAATACTTGCCTACAAAAAGACACTACATTTTCCGGATAGGATCAGATTCCTCAGGAACAGTTCTCTGGACATCTATTTAAGGTGAGTTTTAAAGTCTTTTCTTAAACTCGGGGGCAATATTCATTGTGCTCCCAGTTTCAGGAACTTGGACAATGCTGAGGATGAAACAGGACAGATGGAGCTCCAAATGGCTCAGTGGCAGGAAATTTAACTGAGGGGCTTCATCTTTGCCTGAGGAGGACATACCTCAGGATGTGCTTTATCCCTGTCCCACAGGCATTTCTTACCCTCTTTGTTTAATGGGCTACTTCCTGCTAAGCAGCAAACATCAAAATTCAGAGCAACCTCCCTGGACCTTTCAACACATTCCCAAGTTTTGAGGTGTTTTTAGATGGATCAAGCAAAGGTGAGCTCTGATTCCCACACAGAATGTTTTAGCCTGACTCCAAGTGATCCTGGCTTTAAGGACAGGTAAAGCCTCAAAGTCACATGCACTGATAGAGCATTTCTCACCCTTTTCTCACTGCAGAACCCCCAGACAGCCAGGAGGACCAAGGGAGCTGAACTGTCTCCAGTCCTAGGCACCAGCTGACATTTGACATTAACTGCAAAGACCAGATCCTGGACAGCCAAAACATCAGAAGCCCCAAGAGATCAGCAAAGCATCACATTTCTGGTTTGGAGTCCTTCAAAAATAACCCATCTCAAAGGCTACAAGAGCTGCTCCCAAGGCTGGGCACATGTTCATGAATATACATATCTGAAGATATGGGATCATTTGGCCTTATTTAAATGGAATGGTAAGTATACGGTGAAAATCTGCTTTAAGGTACCTTGGGAGAGATCAGGGAAATAAAAACTGGGGAGAAAAAAAAAATCAATCACTTAAGAGAGGTGGCCTTTAACAAAAAGTCTAACAAAAATTGTAGGGGAAAGCCATGGGGATAAAGTACTTTAAAGTAGCTGATTAAAGTAAGGCAAGGTGGAAAGCAAAAGATCTGAAAGCCATTCCACCTTGCACCTTGATCTTCCCAGCTCTCAGAAGACTTACATGAAAAACCTCAGGAAGGCATACAGTCAAGTTCTGAGAGGAGTCCACAAAAAGTTTAAAACACACATTTTTCTCAGACACAGTTTAGTTTTGCAAATGTTTTAGTGATTGTACAACCTGAGCTTTGTACATGTGCTTTATTGCAGGCTTTGGGGAGTGAAAGAGAGTGAGAAGTGGCACCATCTGGTTGTGGTTTCCTGTTTTCAGATTCTCATTCATGTAAAGCCCTTTCTGGTAGCAAGCATTTGGTTATTTCCACATCTGTGCTGTCCCCAACCTCCCCAGCAGTACCTGAGGTAAGAAATAAGAGCAATGATTCATCACTGCCACTCGTGCCTGTGTGTTGGTGCCAAGCAATAAACACACAGGTTTCAGACAACAAAGAAGGGGAAAACACTCCCAGGCTGGATTTGTGCCTTTCCAACCCCACTGTTGTCAACAGCTTCTCCAAATAGATCCCAGCACCTCAGGACACTGAACAGAGCCAGATGGGACCTGCAATTTTATAACACTTCAGGTATTGTTACTTGAGGTGCAGCAATTCACTTCTGTCAGGCTCCAGGACTCAGGGTTTGGATCACCTGTTACACTGCTCTGCACAAACCTTCCAAGGCCAAGGAGGTTGATGTTGTGTGGAGATAACCAAAGGCAGGCACCTGTCCCTTCCTCCTCCTTGACAAACCAAAGGGCAATAAATAGGAGAAACTTATTTTCTCCCTTCAACTTCTCTGGGTTTGTCCAGAGTCTTGCCCAGAAAATCTGTCCAATGGACATCCCATACTCAGGGAAGAAGTGGAACCATGCAAACAGGGCTGGATCCTCCCCAGCCCCCCTTGGTGGCTGCCCAGGATAAGTCAGACCCCTCCATCACCTTCTCAGCCCGTGTGCATCAAAATCATCCTTTTTCCTAATTGCTCTTTGCTCCAGGTCACACACCAGGGAGCCTCTGCCAATACATCCCATCAGCTGTCCTAGTTAGACTTAGAGAGGAGTTTTCCACTACTCAGTTCTCCAGATAATAGACTTCCAAACACCCAAGTATTGAAACAGGTAGAATGCTACAAGACTGTATCTGGCAGGCACTCAGACAAATCCAATAGTGCTGCAAGCTGATGTATATTCAATTCTGGCATATCAGTCACTTCAGATTCCACTGTGATTATCAAAAGACTGCTTTTGCCCATAATATAAACCACTTTTTTCTCCCCTCCAATTACTTTATGGAAATTTTTAGCACAGATAATACATAGTATTAATAAATCCTCTGTAGCATGGCAGTAGAAAGACTGATTTTATCTCTTTGTCCCTCTTCTTGTATCAGGAAAACCTCACAAGTTTCAACTTACTTAAGAATAAAGCACACAAAAATATTGTCTCATCCACATCTTCTGCAAACCCTTTCTGAAATATTCGACCTATCTGAGCTTACACTACATAATAATCAATTACATCAAGCAATCTACTGCAAATGCCTTGCCAGTAAAGTACAAAGTCATTTTCAGGTTCTGAAATGCCTTCTCCAGTTACACACAACAAATAGCACTTTCACACAAGCCACAACAATTTCTGCCTTTACCTGTGAAAAAGTGTCTTGTGTTCCTGTATTATCCATGTCTGTGAAAATTCTATTTGTTTCATCAGTATCCTACAGGGTTGCAAAGTACAGTTTATTCATGAATCACACCTGCTTTTCCACACCACGCTGCTCGTTCTCTCTCTCTGCTTCTCTCTCTTATGAAATCTTGCAGCCAATGGCTTTTATTAAGTGTTACTTCCTTTTATGCTGAGAACTGAAAGAAACAATAATGATGCTTTGCTTCCTTATGGCAGCTCTGTGAAAAGACAAAAAAAATGTAGAAGTTGTTTGTTTGCTTTTCCTGAACTGATATTTATGTTCTGGGGACTTCCTGAAATCACCAAGCCATGAATATTGAAAATTTGATTTATTACTGTACATTGAATCTATCAGAACACCCAACATGTTAATTACCCAAACAAATTTTGTGCTAAATGTAATGAAGTTTGTCTGAGGAACTGCAAATACAGTGCTCAGTTTTCCCAGCAGTGTCTTTGTGCTCAGCAACAATCTTTAACATGTCTTCAAACTCCAGCATGAATATGTTCATGTTGGATGAAAGCACAAAGGCACCTGCAGCTTAATGTACCAGATTCCTGTAAAGACAAAGAGCATTTCAAACTTTGCCTTTGCTATCTGTACGGGAGGAGAGAGTCTAGTGATTAGAAGAGGGAGTTACCAGTAGGACATTCCTGAAATCTAACCCTGGCTATGACAAAAATTATTCAGCAGTTACAGGGAAAATATACCTCAGTTTTCCCACTGATATCAGGCAGCTCCTATCACATCACAAAACCATATTGAAATCAATTTAGTGATTAAAAGTTATTAACAGACATAGCTGGAAAGTGGACTCTTCATATTTTGACATTTCTTCTCCTCCCAATGGAGGCAAAAGGGAAAATCAAAAGCTATGAAGTATCTCCTGCAAAGCACAGCTTTTAAGAAGTGACAGGAACTGAAACATTTTGATGACGACTCTCCTTCCTCTGCTGGTCTAGAGACAGCTTTTTAATAGAAACACAGGAAGTTGAGAAGTTCAGTGCAGAAGAGGTTCCAATGGACCACTCTGGGCTGAGGGTGGTCCCTGGCTTGGCCCAGCACACCCACAGCTATAAATCCCACCTGCTCTTTCAGCTGATGCAGTTATGGATCCCCACTGAGGAGCTGGACTGATTTACCTGACAAAAGAGGCAAATTCAGGCTGGAAAGCAGAGACAAGCTGAGGAAAACATCACAATACAGAGCTGGCCAACACATTCACCTTGTAGCAGGTTGTCAGCATCCCAGACACAGACCTCAAAGCTGTGCTTCAGGGCAGGTTCTGGCAGCCCCACAGTCAAGAGCCTTTAAACCCACACTCACTGAACCAAATGGACCCAAGAGAGACCCCAATATCAAACAAGTGGGAGAGAAAGGATTAGGAATTAACTCTCTCAGATTACTTAAGGCAGTAGAAATTAAATGGAAGGTCAATATATGCTAATATAAACAGGTTTTAATCCTTTTAACTGGTTAGAAGTCAGTCCTATTCTTTGAAAGAATGTTAACAACACAGGCCAATAATGTAACAGGGCCTGACTGAGCCCAGATCTTCTGTAAGAATATTTAATAAAAGATTGTCTTTCAATGCTCTCAATTCTGACTATTCTATGTCCAGCGTGAGAAGATGGAAATCTTTTACTAAACTGGAAAAAGAAATCATGGGAAATATGTTTCTTTGATAGCTATCTCAAGTCATTTGGTTAAAATAAAATAGCAACTAATTCACTCAGAATCAAATTTCTAGTACCAGCCTATTCCCCCTTAGAGTCCTCAGCCCTTGAGGAACTATGATTTTCTTTTTAAATTAAACAATCCCAAGGAACTCCTTTTTATAATGTGATTATAGCAACACAGAACATTTCAGAATGGGAAAATGACAGGTCTCTTTTATAAAGGTTCTGCAGAGATATCAGATGGCCTTTTCCCCTCCACTGCCTGCTGAACAGCACGTTCTGCAAGGTTACAAAGCCTGAGAGAAAGCAGTTAATCAGGATAGAGCTCAATTGCTACTCTTAGAGAAAACATTTTCAATTAATCTGAAGTCGTTAATTACACCTCCCTTTAATAAAGGCTCGGGTGTAATTTTCTTTTTTTCCTCTCGGTTTATCGATCCAAACATATGCCAGACTCATGTGCTGCAACAAACACGTGGGAAAATTCACTGCTGGAATAAACTGAAATAAAATACTCTCCTCGATAAACCACATCATGAAGATGCAAATTATGGGGGAAAGAGTTTTGGAATAATTGTGGAAGAACAAGAGCACTTTGTGCATTGTCTGACCAATGTATGAGGCAAATGTGTTGTACCAGCAGTGCATGTTTCACTTCAGAAAAACTTGAACTCTGACCATAGGGAATGAAGCTGGTGTCAGACATGACTTTGTAGGACTTCTTTAGTACTTGTACAAGGTGTGTTTGCTGCCAAGGGCCTTTTGCCCGTGCCTTGCCTTGTCACAACCCACCTGAAGCTGCTGCTGCCCATCACTGACCGGCCACGACCCCCCAGGCTGGTCCCACTCCCACCTGGGTCCTCCTGACCTGCTTTCATGGAATCATAGAATGGTCTGGGTTGGAAGGGACCTCTCATTCCAGCTATCTCATTCCAACCCCTGCCACAGGCAGGGACACCTTCCACTAGCCCAGGTTGCTCCAAGCTCCGTCCAACCTGGCCTT